ATATTTTGCCCCTATGCAGTTAAAGCAGTACGATTGCTTTGAAAAAAAAAAGTTCAGATCTTCCACAATATGTCAAAATAAAGAAAAAAAATTTTTTTTTATTATTTATATATAATTATTTTTTTTAAAAAAATTTTTTTTTTTTTTAAAAAAAGTAATTTTTTGTCAAACTTATAGTTTCAAACATTTTTTTTTTCGAAAATGTTAATCGTTTTTAAAAAAATAGTAATTTTTGGTACGGGAAGTTCCAGCAATTTGCCTTAAGGCACGATGCCTTAAATGCCTTAAGACAGAATTCCACTTACAGCTAGTTTTAAGTGGAATTGATGAAGTATATTATTTACACTTTTTTTTTTTTGATTAAGTCGATTATTTACACATATCGGGAAGTTCATGTAACTTGCCTCAAGGCTAAATACCAAACCAACTAGTTTGAGGGATGGATCCTGATCTAGATAATTTTCTATGACATAGAATGTTATATATTATCCTCTCCCCCGACTTTCCTTCGTCACCTCGAAGGTTTTCCTCCGCTCTCGGCGTTGCACCTGTGTAATGAAGCACGCGTAAACCGTAAACCGGCGGCGGTCTACGGTTTACGGTTCACGGTTTACGTTCAACTCGTCTTTCCGAGAGACGAGGAAATGATACCCCATATTATTCCGACGATACTCTCATTCTCTCCCCGGAGACTTTACGTACGTACGGGGTAGGCACTAATGCCGTAATTAATGTCCGACGTCTAGGTATTAAATTAAAATTAAATACACATATAAAACAAACCGCCGACTGAAATTTATTTCGAGAGGCACGGTTAGGAGTTTTAGTGGTTGTATTGAGTCATATTTTTGTATGGAGGAATTTTAAGAGTTCACTGAAGGTCTGAGACATTGAACTCAAATGAAGGAGATAAATGTAAACTAGTGGGGCGCATGGCATCGTGCCTTAAGGCAAATTGTTGGAACTTCCCGTACCGTAATGAAATCTTCGAGAATATTTAAACGTTTTTAAATATATTATTACAAATACTGATGTAACTTTCATTATTTTTGCTATCTTGTTATATTTGAGCAAATCAAATGTAAATCATAAATCAATTTATCTCCAGAACATTAACAATTGTCATTTCATTTCATTTCGAATTCAATTTAAAAAAAATAGTTGTCTGATTTACACAAAATTGAAGAACTGCTCCCGTATAGTCACAGTCTAAACGCATTTGCAAATATTTCTGTACGACATTTTCACTTATACTGTGCTTAGCTTGGCGGCATTTTCACATTTCTCACGAAATTTGGAAAGTGCTCCAATACATAAACAGTCTAAACGCACTTGCGGAATCATTTGTACCCCAGAGTGGCGCTTAGACTGTGCTTAGCCTGGGCAATTTTTTGAATTTTTAATCCAAAATTACAAAAATATTTTATGGAAAATAAAAAAAGATGTAATAATTTTTTATCCTTAAAAGCAATTGTTTTGTCAACACAAGCAGAAAGTTTTTTAGATCATTCAAATCGGACATTTAGTTCACTCAAAAACTGCCATCTTTTACACATTTAGCTATGTATCTTCGAAATGGCGGGACCTGTCTTTGCCAAAAACTAATCACCTCTTCTCTCAATCATTACAAATTGAACGTTTTTTAGATCATTCAAATCCGACACTCCGTTCTCCCAAAAACTCGATTTGTACTTTCTGTACTCTTTATTCCGTATCTCCGTAACGGCTGGACTTGCCTTCGCCAACTAGTCAGCACATCTCCCTATCAATAGGAATCGAATCTGTTTTAAACCATTCAAATCGGTTGATCCGTGCGCCCGAAAACGTAGACGAAAAATTGCGGACATACAAAACACACATAAATACATCCATTTTTCTGAGGTACGCCAGTAAAATGTTCAGAAACCTTCAAAACACTTGGGTTTGAAAGGCAAATGGAAAATCACTCACACTATTTTTCCCTGAACCGAGTTGGAGTTTAATTCAGCTTACGGATATATATATATATATATATATATAATATGTATTTATATATTAATATTCTTGTACGGAACCTTTGATCAAAGCAATGAAAACAGCTTAGAGAAGCCTTTGAAACTTAAACACCTACTCCTTCGGTGCAACTATAAACTGTTAAAACATTAAAGTAAACTTTCAACTCGCGCTAATAGAACATACGCAGGAGACGTTTAATACTGGCAACGACGAGGTGGGCAATGAGGGCAAGGAGGGCAAAACTGCGAAGACTAACATGGTAAAGAAGGGGCAGAAGATCGGGCACAAGACGGGGAAATCGTATGGGGCAAATGGGGAGATTATTACGCAATTTCGTTTGAGACTTTAACCTAGAGACAGGAGAGGCGGAAATATAAAACGTTCTATGAAAAACTTATATAACTAGGTGTATGTGATATTTTTTCTTAAGGGGATATTCTAGTGTAGAAATTCAAAAAAATCGTTTTTTTATTTCATATTTTCAAAGTTTAACTATCTAAGAATATGGGTACGAGAAAGTTTTTGAAAATTTGAATTATTTTCGGAGATATAGGCATTTTTACTGACTCGGTCTCCATACTGATTTGGTTTCTCGCAAAACTTTAAATGCGTTTTTCACAGAACAGACTTTTTCAGTACTGTTGACACGATTTCTCGAGTTCTACTCGACCGACTCACTTGAAATGTTCAGAGAGTCTTGTTTATAGACTCTATCTATATCCCGAACTAGGATTATCCCCAAATTCCAATAATTACTATTTTTAAAAAATTCGAGAAACTCAAAAAAAAAAAACAGTAAAAAAACACTTTTTTTTTCAAACAATCGCCAATTTGTAAAAAAAAAATCTTTTTACTCATCGCTAGTTCGGGCGATTTTGACATCATTGTAGATTAATAATCTTTTTATTTTTTGCATTTCCGATGGCTAGGAGAGCTGAAATCATGTCAAGACTTATCAGCTACCAGATTTTACAATTTTCAACTTTTTTATTTTTTAATTTTTGTTTTGTATTTTAATAATATCAATAAACAAGTGGTAAAAAATGGACAGTAAAAACAATCATTGCTTTCGTTTACGACCCTTTAAAAGTGACCTAGAATTCATCGCTCTACACTAGAATACCCCCAATCGTCTTAATTAATATATTGATTTATGAGTGATTTTTGTTATTTACCGAGTTGCTGCAGATCCTTACAATTGCAGGTTTTTCAATTTGAACAAATACAAAAATGTGAACTTTAATAATTTTAATAAATCTATAGCTAGTAAGGATCACAATTGTATTCTTATCATTTGTGACATTATTAACTTCCCATAGGGTAGTTATAGTTATGGGCCGAAAATCGAAAATGAAAATTTTTGCATTTCTCAACGTTTTGAAGGTTTCTGCATATTTTGGCATACCTCAGAAAAAAGTGATGTGTGTGTGTTTTGTATGGGCGCACTGATCAACCGATTTGAATTGTTTAAAAACATTCGATACCTATTGAAAGGGAGATGTGCCGATTAGTTTTTGGCAAAGGCAGGTCAAGCCGTTACGGAGATACGGAGCAAAGTGTGCAGAAAATACAAATCGAGTTTTCGAGAGAACGGAGCATCCGATTTGAATGATCTAAAAAACATTCAATTTGTAATGATTGGGTGAAGAGGTGATTAGTTTTTGGCAAAGACAGGTCCCACCATTTTCGTTTTTGTGTGTACTAAGCGTCCGATTTGAATTATCTTAAAAACTTCTGCTTGTATTGACAAACAAATTGCTTTTGAGGATAAAAAATTATTACATCTTTTTTTATTTTTCATTAAATATTTTTGTAATTTTGGATAAAAAGATCAAAAAATTACTCGGGCTAAGCACAGTCTGGCACAAATGTTTACCCAAGCGCGTTTAGACTGTTTATGTACTGGAGCAATTTTCCAATTTTGTAAAAAAAACTATTGAAAAATGTGAAAATGCCGCCAAACTAAGCACAGTATGAGTGAAAATGTCGCACAGAATCATTTGCAAATGCGTTCAGACTGTGTCTATACGGGAGCACTTTTCCAATTTCGTATAAATTGGCAACTATTTTTTTTGAAATTGAATTCGAAATGAAATGACGATTGTTAATGTTCTGGAGAGAAATTGATTTATTTATGATTTACTTTTGATTTGCTCAGATATAACAAGATTGCAAAAATAATGAAAGTTACAGTATTTGTAATAATATATTTGAAAATTTCTCGAATATTTCATATTTCAGTTTATTCGATTATTTCTATTAAATTTGCAGTTCGGGCCTGCCCTCAAGAAATAGTTTAGCCCGACTTCGACTATTATAAAGTTTATTAAACCGTGCCCGTGGCGAACGCTTTCGATACATGGAAAACTTTATGGAAACTGTGGAAACGTTTCCCGAACTTGCGAACGCCGTCATCTCATTCGTCGGTAACAAAATTTAATGATGATTGTCAAAGATACCTAAAAAAGTTGGTACGACAAAGTAATTTAGTACTTATATTCATGGAATTGGAAATGTGTCCCAGAAATCAACGTCAAGTTCAGACTGTGGTTGACAGAATTATAAAAAATACCAGAAAAAATCTATACCATGTAAAATGGGAGACTTTCTTCACTATTTGTTTCTATTCTGTTTTCATTTTCTAAAATAAATATTTAGCTAATTTCATTAGACTTTAATGTTTATTTTCAGATCCGTGAAAATCTGGAACCCTTGGAAATAATGGCAGCCCTTGTGGGAGCCGTCGCTCACGATTTGGATCATCCTGGTGTCAATCAACCGTTCTTGATTGCCACTTCGAATCATTTGGCAGCTTTATACGAGGTAACTAGTGGTATATTATTAAGAACCTTCAATGAACTAGTTTCAGCTAGTTCATATTTTATTTATAAGTGAAACCCATCAACAAGTACCTTTTTTTCTCATACATTCTTTGCACCATAAAAGTGACCTTGCAGTGAGATGTGTAACCGAAAATGATCTATTTTTGGTTATTTATATTTTTGAAAATTATCTATTATTTTTACAGAATACATCAGTGTTAGAAAATCACCATTGGAGATCAGCAATAGGATGTTTATTAGAGAGTGGTGTGGCGGAGCAAGTGCAGCAATACAGGCCCGAATTGGAGCAGCAAATCAGCTCACTAATTTTGGCCACCGACATCACAAGGCAGCAGGAATTTATACAAAGATTTAAGGTGAATAAAGAAAGGCCATTTTTAACACAAGAACTTTACATGAGTCTTACTTATTATTTTATAATCCAACTAGCTGACCCGGCAAACGTTGAGGTATTATAAAAACAATAAACCCTACAAGTTTGTCTATATTTTGTCCAAACAATCAAACTGGAAGTTTTATACACTTTCTATAGAAAACATGGTATAATCTAATCAAAGTTTTTTTTTGGCCTTTCGACTTATTGATTACGTTTCAAGTTTTTTAGATTCTTTTTGAATTCTGCATTTTGTGTATAATTATAAATAATACTACTGAGCTTATACAAAATTTTCAAATTTCTGCGAGGAGAGATACAAAATGAATTAAGTATTTCGACCTTTGACCTGCATTTGAAAAAGTTTCAAGTACCATTCGATGAATTAAAGTAAATTTAATAAAAAGTATATATGTAGAGCAGGGCGAGGCACGAAGGTCCAATTTGACTTTGAGCAAAAATAAACTATCTTATGAAAACCAAACCAATTATATCACCACAAATAAAACATTTCAAACGAACAATTATCTGATTACGTTCAGTAAACTGTCAACTACTTCATCATTGTAGAAATGTGATTTTTGATGTCTTTCAAAAATTTGTTATCTAGACCTTTTTACCCTATACGACGGTGTAACTTGGAACGACCAGGTGGCAAACAGGTTAATGTCTCATTTGATTTTAAAGCTATTTTACAAAGAAATTACATTTTTAACTTATGCTAAAAAAACTATCAACGGACGAAAATACTTTTATTATGGATTTTCAAAGATTACCATTCATCTCCCGATAGTAAAGTCATGAGAATCAAGGTTATAACTGGTTATACATCTTTTTCCCTCTACTTCAAATATTGCTGCTAAACAATGCTCAACTTTACTGGTTTTTTAACTATCTATTTTTCGATAAATTCTGGGAAATTATAACTGGGAAAATGTTATTCGACAAAATGTTCCTTTGATCGATACCAAATTTAGGTTCTGAATTGGAATAACATAAATAAAAAATAATATAACCTAGAAAATGTTTTATAAATACCAATGAGCATATAATTATACGTGTTTGAGAAAAATATGATTTGCAAAAAAAGAGTGCTACAACGCCAAAAATGCATTTTTATATTAACATTTCAAAGAAGTTGATATTTTGAGTTTCTAGTAACACTTGCGGCCCGTTTACTAACGTTTTTGTTTATAAATAAAACTACTTACTACAATTTAATCATAATTAATAAAAATTCATGTAAAACATCCTATTAAGCGTAATTAAACATCATCTGTCAAAAACGTTTGACATTTGACTTATTAGCCACCGTCCATTGTTTTATTCCAATTACGCTTCTATAAAAATGTTCAAATTAAAAATGTAAAGTTTCTACGCGATTTTGAAATAATATCTCACCCATTCCGACAACCTACTGATTAGCACGAATTTTTCAAGACTAAGGCTGGCCAAATCGGTTTAGCCGTTTTCGAGTTTTAGCGGATCATTTGATCGAGAGCTCCATTTTTATATATAAAATATTTAACAAGCAATAAGTTGTACAGAAGTTGTCTTATATTCAAATCTTTGTCATCAAGTCTTCAACAAATACATAAGCACAAATAAAGAATAATATATAACATTTACAAAATAATCCGCCCATAAACACCGTATTTATCTTGGGCTTACCGTTCAGTTTGCAAGAATTTAGATAACGTTCCGCAAATATCTCGCGACAATTGTTACTTTTATTGTTTCGAATCCATTTCGAACGATAACTGTGGAATTTATTCATTTATAATTTAGTCTAAGTCGTAAATCTGTCGAACGATAAAGACGATTAGGGGGCTCCTTGAAAATTGATGTATGTGTACAATACAATACAATTAGCTGCCGACGTTTTTTACCATTTCTATGACCTAGTTAATTTATATTATTACGGGGCACAACTAGTGTGAAATTTTCAAAAAATCGAATTTTCAATTTTTCCATATTTCGATAGGTTATACATTTAAAAATAACATACCAAAATTTTAAATCGATATCTTGAATAGTTTTTGAGGCACAGCCATTTAAAAAGTATATATATAGTATATAGTATAGCAATCATTTTATCTAAACGCGTTTTTCTCGAAACAGCGTTTTCCGAATTTGCTGCAGCGATTACTCAAAAACAAATTATCCGATCACTATCAATTTTTTTTACCTGTTCTATATATAGTTATACGTAAAATGAACTATCGATTTTTTGATCGGATCAAAAATCGAATTTTGGCAGTCGAAAAACGACCAAAATTTTTGGGTAAAATTCGACTTTTTTTTAAGAAACGCCTTCATTTTGTCAATTTTTGATTCTTTTCTATGTCGTAGTTCATTTTACAGACAATACTATCTAGTTTAACGAGATTTTTTTTTTTAATTTTATCCACGTAGAAGGCCGGAATCACTGCAGCAGTGAAGGGCCTTTTTTTGTCGCTCCGTTGGAGATCGACGATAACTTAAAAAATATTTAATTTCTTTCTTCAAAAATATTAAGTACTATGTATTCTTAAAACATGCATAAATATACTCCTAAAATTTTGAAATGATTGATAAAGTAGTTTGTTTAATATAAATTCCCAAAAATCACCTTTTTTAGGCGGTTACACTAGTTGTGCCCCTTAAAAATATCAGAGGTGTCTAATTATGTTCTATCTTTATTTTTTTCAGAATTATTTAGACACAGGCAGCTTAGATATGCGAAATGCCCCCGACAGGCATTTCATATTGCAGATTTCCCTGAAATGTGCAGATATATCCAACCCTTGCAGACCCTGGGACGTCAGCAAAAAGTGGTCGCAGAAAGTCTGCGAAGAATTCTTCAGACAGGTAATATAATAAACTTCCCGTAGGATAGTTATAGTAATGGGCCGAAAATCGAAAATCAAAATTTTTGCATTTCTCGACGTTTTGAAGGTTTCTGAACATTTTACTGGCATACCTCAGACGTGTGTGTTTTTTATGTTCGCATTTTTTCGTCCACGTTTCTGGGCGCACGGGTCAACCGATTTCAATGGTTTAAAAAACTTTCGATTCCTATTGATAGGGAGATGTGCTGATTAGTTTTTGGCAAAGGCAGGTCCAGCCGTTACGGAAAAACGGAGCAAAGAGTGCAGAAAATACAAATCGAGTTTTTGAGAGAGCGGAGTATTGGATTTGAATGATCTAAAAAACATTCAATTTGTAATGATTGGGAGAAGAGGTGATTAGTTTTTGGCAAAGACAGGTCCCGCCATTTCGAAGATACAGAGCTAAATGGACAAAAAATGGCAGTTTTTGAGTGAACTAAGCAGAGGCGTAGCGTGCCTTGGCGGGGCTCCGTATCAACATTTATTTGGGGCCCCCCCTCGAGAAGAAATTTTTTTACAAATATAAAAATTCATAAAATTAAAAGAATTTGTATTTATCATTCTTATTATTTATCTATCTAATTTTCTTTAATTTACTGAATTTTTTGCAAATGATTCCAGATATATATTCACTTTCTTTGAATTTTTTTGAAAAATTATATTATTTATTGATCTTTAAATTTTATAAAGATTTCTGTCACTAGGAACATACAGGTCTGGTATATATTTCTGTCCTAAAGTTTTTACGTAATTTTTAATTAGTTTCAATTTTAAAAATTTCATTTAGCAGTGGCGATTGTAACTTGAAGGGCCAAGAAAAAAATGCATGCTGTTATTTCGTTGGGAAAACTGGATGCAAGCCTAATGCATCCATCACATTTCTTAGATTTTTGAATTCAAACCTATTTCTAGAGCCATCAATTTGTCATGATCTTATGAGATATTTTTATAGTATTTCTTTACAGTAATTCAGTCGACAGATTTCCAGAAATGTTTAATTATTCTCCATTTCAAAAAGACTAATGTTACTATTTACGTCGCAAAGTTTCTGAAATCTTTGTTTGGTTTGTGAAATTAATATATCGAAACAGCAATATTATACATTAAAATAAGGTTTCGGGTCCAAAATTCTCTCATCTTGTGATAACTCATCATAATAACTTGTAATAACTCATCATCTAATAACGATTCATTATTTTTTGTCTTTTGTTCTTTGAAATAGTTATTGCAATCCATCTTTTTTGCAAAATATTTTGTCTTCTCTAGCAAATTAATTCACTAAATTTTCATATTTTAATTTGCACAGTCTATTCAAAAGATTACTTAATAAAATGCTAGTTTTTTATAAGTCATTACTGTCATATTGTGAAATTTTAGAAATGAAACTAATAATTTGGAACAGTGAAGAAAGAAATCTGAAAATGATTTAGTTGATCATATTTATCAAAATTTAACGTTCAACTAAGCGTCCGATTTGAATGATCTAAAAAACTTTCTGCTTGTATTGACAAAACAATTGCTTTTGAGGATAAAAAATTATTACATCTTTTTTTATTTTCCATAAAATATTTTTGTAATTTTGGATCAAAAATTCAAAAATCTACCCAGGCTAAGCACTGTCTAAGCGCCACTCTGGTACAAATGTTTACCCAGGTGCATTTAGACTGTTTATGTATTGGAGAACTTTTCCAATTTTGTGAAAACTATTGAAAAGTGTGAAAATGCCGCCAATCTAAGCACAGTATAAGTGAAAATGTCGCACAAAATTATGTGCAAATGTATCTAGACTGTGACTATACGGGAGCACTTTTTCAATTTTGTGTAAATTAGGCAACTATTTTTTTGAAATTGAATTCGAAATGAAATGACGATTGTTGATGTTCTGGAGATAAATTGATTTATGATTTATGATTTACATTTGATTTGCTCAGATATAACAAGATAGCAAAAATAATGTTCTTACATTATTAAAAATAAAGTTCTTAACTCCATCAGTCTTTGTTTTTTTTCAGGGAGATTACGAAAGACAACTAGGTCTACCAGTAACAACTCTCTGCGATCGGCACACGACTTCCATGAGCAAAATTCAAGTAGGATTCTTTAAATTCGTGGTGACACCTTTGTTTGACGAATGGCATCGATTCCTGGACACTCCTTTGTCCAGACAAATGATGCGAAATTTGAGAGTCAACCAGCGCAAATGGGAAGCACTAATTGTTCAAGAGACTGCTGAAGAGACCAGGACTGAAATATCAGAAGCTGAGGTAAATAATTGACTCAAATAAATTCTTCTTTATCTTATATATAAAAATGGAGCTCTCGATCAAATGATTCGGTAAAACTCGAAAACGGTTAAACCGATTTGGCCAGTCTTAGTCTTGAAAAATTCGTGCTAAACGGTATCGCGGTATCGCGTAGAAACTTTACATTTTTAAAAAAAATGTTTGTAAATGTTTGAAAATTTTTGTAGACGCGTAATTTGAATAAAACAATGGACGGTGGCTCATACGTCAAATGTCAAATGTTTTTGACAGATGATGTTTAATAGGATGTTTTACGTGAATATTATTTAATTATGATTAAATTGAAGTAAGTAGTTTTGTTTGTAGTTTTATTTATATACAAAAACGTTAGTAAACAAATTGACGGCTTAAAATATATTTTAAAAATATAAAGCGTTGTAATACAGTTATGAAATTAGAGTATGTTATTTCTTAATATGTGTACTGAATTATAAAAATATAAAATCAAATTTGTTACTAACAGAAGAAACTAAAAAATTGCAATGCACACTTACACACTCTATTTTTATTAGTTGCGAATCGACGGTTGGATATGATATGAGAAGTACTTTTGAAAAATGTTTTAAACATATACAATATTATACTAGAGCTATAAAATTTTAGTATATTATTACCTAATATATATACTCAATTACAAAATATAAAATCACATATGTATCTAACAAAAAAAGCTATAAATGTGCAATTTTGTGAAATATGCACTCTTGCAATAGTTGCAAGTCCACGGTTGATGAGTATTTTGAAAAATATTTAAAAATACAAAACGTTATACTAGAGTTACAAAATTTTAGTATATTATTTCTTAATATGGTGTACTAAATTATAAAAATATAAAATCACATATGTTTCTAACAAAAACAGCTATAAATTTGCAATTCAATAAAATCATGTAATAGGGCCGCAAGTGTTACTACAAACTCAACAATATCAACTTTTTTGAAATGTTTATATGAAAATGCACTTTTTGGCATATTTTTCTCAAACACGGCGCTCTGTAAGATCTCATTTGTATAATTATGTACTCATTGGTATTTATAAAACATTGTCTAGGGCATATTATTTTTTATTTATGTTATTTAAATTCAGAACCTAAATTTGGTATCGATCAAAGGGACATTTTGTCGAATAACATTTTCCCAGTTATAATTTCCCAGAATTTATCGAAGAATAGATAGTAATATATGAAAGTCCGGGGTTAAAAAGGTCCATTACCAATGTGTCAAAAAACAGTTAGTTAAAGTTAAGCATTGTTTAACAACAATATTTGAAAGTAGAGGGAAAAAGATGTATAACCAGCTATAACCTTGATTCTCATGACTTTGCTATCGGGAGTTAAACGCGGTTTGAAAATTTATAATAAAAATATTTTCTTCCGTTGGTAGTTTTTTAGCATCAGTTAAAAATGTAATTACTTTGTAAAATAAAATAAGACATTAAACCTGTTTGCCATCTGGCCGTTCCAAGATACTTGGCCTAGAAAACTGGGCGGAGTAAAAAGGTCTAGATAACAAATTTTTGAAAGACAGCAAAAAAGCACATTTCTGCAATGATGAAGTAGCTAGCAGTTTTACTGAACGTAGTCAGATAATTGTTCGTTTGAAATGCGTTATTTGTTGCGATATAATTGTTATGGTTTTCACAATATAGTTTATATTTGCTCAAAGTCAAATTGGACCTGTGTGCCTCGCCCTGCTCTACATATATACTTTTTTATTAAATTTACTTTAATTCATCGAATGTAACTCGAAACTTTTCAAAAAGCTGGTCAAAGAAGAAATACTTAATTAATCACTCTTTGCAGATATTTGAAAATTTTGTATAAGCTCAGTAGTATTATTTACAATTCAAGAATCTGAAAAACTTGAAACGTAATCTTAATAAGTCGAAAGACCAAAAAAAGGACTTGGATTGGATTATACCATGTTTTGTATAGAAAGTGTATAAAACCTCCTGGCAAAATATAGACAAACAAATGGGGTTTATTGTTTTCATAATGCCTCATTGTATATAGCATTCAATCAACACTTATAGTATTAATATTTTTGATTCTCTAGAAGTTGTTTAGAATATACCTTACTTAGCAAAACAATGTTTGTCGGTTGAGCTAGTTATTAATAAATATTTTTATCCTCAGGTGATAGATGTCGATACCGAATTAGAAATCGACACCTCCCCTCAGCCTCCAACAAAGGCAACGACTCAACACAGATTATCCCTTCGTTCGATGACAGACAATCAGCAACTTCGACTAGAACAAGAAAGGAGATCATCACATCCCCAACAATTGTTACAAGTACATACACAAACACAGGAGCAAGATGACTATGAAGAAGATGCTGAAGTCGATGATAGGGGTAGTGAGGAAAATTTGCTTCCTGAATTGCCAACGTTGAAGTTGTCTCCTACGATTAGAGTCCAAGCTGATGGTCGTAGGTAAGGGATAAATAATAGAAAAAGAATCTTATTTGGATCAGGATTATTATTGTATAAATTAATTTCAGATATTCGGTGCCAATTAGTATAGTGACTCAACCACCAGCTTCGACTTCATCACTCAGTGCAGGTGGTAAACGAAGGGAAAGCTTGCCTGCAGAACATATTGTGCCAAGGTAATAAATATATATATATCTTATATATAAAATTCTTCTGTAACTATGTATGAATGATTAATCCTCCTAAATCATAATTCGGATTTTCATGAATCTTCCTGAAGTTTGTTCGGTAAATTTTCTAGAATTTTTAGATTTACAGAAATATAGTTAGATTGTAGTAAAAAAAAGAAAAAAATACAAAAAACCGCTTATCATTGTTTGCCCTTGAAAATGTTTAAGGCATAGTTTGACATTAAAAACAAAAGAAGACATTTGCCAAACATTTCTATTCACTTATAGGCTAAGACAATATTAAAATATAATATATTTATGATTATGAATAAGAAAAATGTAATGTCTACATTATCATTGCCCAAAAGCAGCTGAGATGTGCCAAAAATTGAAATAATATAAGATTTACAGTCAACATGCGTCCAACAGGTGATGCAGTCTACGCAGTTATTACACATCAAACTTAGCCTATAATTCAATTTAACAGATTATTATTTTTTAACTTTTAAATGCAGTCGTGTTTTGCCTTACTTACTAAATCACGATACAAAAATAATTTACTTATTCAAACAATTATTTAGAAGTTTAATTGTGTCAAAAATTCATATGTTTAGCATTGGATACGAAATATTTGCAAATTTGCATGAAATTTTGGAATTGGGTTTATCTTATTCTCAAGTTTAAAAGTAAAAATTATTTAGAATCATTTGCCACTTCCCGGCGGGATGACATCCCTTTTCAGTGGTGCAATTGTATCTCTTTCAAAATAACGTCGGATATCGATAAAAGAACTAATTAGAAGAGAAAAATGTTTAATAATGTTTTTCAAAAAAGAAATTACTTTTCAAGTTACTGGCTACTGAAAATTTGTTTTTTTTTTGCATTTTTTATCGTTTTTTGCAAATATTTCTAAAAATATACATTTAAACGAAAATCATGCAATGAACAAAATTATATCAATTAAAATCCCAATAAATCGGTATTCTATAAATTGTTCTAGGAACAATATTAGGCTTGATATGAAAATGAGGTTTTATAGTACTCAAAATAAGCTTTAAAATGAGTACTTCTGCGTGTAAAATGAGTGAGCTATCATGCAGATAAAAGACGCATACAATGTTTTTTCCATTTGAATCAAATAGTTTTTGAGTGCCATTTCCACCAAAATTAAAAATAATCGTATTCCCTCTAGAATCAACTTGGTTTAAGAGATCTTGACGAATTCTAGAAAATACAATAAATTTAGTGCTCCAAACGCTTTCCAAAAAGCTCATAATTTCATGAAAAAAAATTATTTAAATCAATAAAAGATACGTATAAAGGTATATAAATGAAAATTCAAGGTCTTTTACTGACCAATTATTGCTTTCTATTGTTTTTCTGTTACACAAATAATGATAGTGTCCAACCAGAGTGTCTTTCGAGTCCTTCAATCCTTTGCCATTTCAAAATAAGAGAAGTTACGGTAAAATTTATGATAGAGAAAGTTGTAGCTCATTTAATTACCTTTAAAATAGTGTATTGCAAGTACTGATAAAATCAGAATTAAGAGTTATAAATCCATTGATCTGGTAGGTGGTGACGAAGAGCAAATTGTTTCCACTTCTGAACTTAAGATAAAGATTAGTCTATTTCCAACACATGCGTTTTTCCTCTCCATTTACTGCAATAATTTTATTGATCGTAGGTTGAATAGAGCACATGTGAACAGGATTTGATAAATTAATTCACTTCAAATATAAACTTTAATATAATAAAAAAAAAAATTTAGATCGTAAATTACTAAAAGCCAGTTAAAATATGGTACGTAATTATAAAAATTATAGGCAACATTATTGAAGCAATTATTTTGGGTAGAAAAATTCAAGATGATATTGTACCTATACCGCGAATGCTATATTTATTTTTTTCTGAATTTGTTATGCCTTTTAAAAGACTTCAATTTTCAACACGTGTATTTTATGCAATGGCCATAAATCACAAAGGCAGACGATGATTTTTTGTGTGATACATTTGGAAAATCAATGTTTTAGTCGTGAATGAACAAAAAATCATTTATTTATACATCCACATCTACAGGTATGACTGAAAAATTTTGTAACCCTTGGCATTAAAATAAATTGAGCCATTGAAAATAAATTTGCAGTGTATAATTTTTAATATACAATTTTATTGTACATATTTTAATATTTGTTAAAGGGATAATTAAAGTGTTAACTGTGGGAATTGAGAATCATCATTTTATTTGAAGCATTTCTACACTTAATAACATCACTCATATATTGGTGTAAATAGTAATTCGAAAACCAATAATGATTATTTTTAACTGAACGGTATAAATATTAGTATAGGATATTA